GAGCGCGGCGCTGTGGGAGGGTCAGTGCTGAGGGAGCGCGGCGCTGTCGGAGGGTCACTGCTGAGGGAACGCGGCGCTGTCAGAGGGTCAGTGCTGAGGGAGCATGGCGCTGTCAGAGGGTCAGTGCTGAGGGACCGCTGCGCTGTCGGAGGGTCAGTGCTGCATCCTTTCAGAGAATCATAGAATGCTTCCAATGTGGAAAGAGGCCATTTGGCCCATTGAGTCTGCATCGACCCTCCAAAGAACATCTCGCCCAGACCCAGACCCCCTACCCTATCTCCATAACCCCACATTTCCCACGATTAATCTGCCTACCTGCATGTCCCTAGACACTGCAGATAATTAAGTATGGCCAATCCACGTAGCCTGCACATCTTTGGACTGTGGGAGGAAACCGGAGCATCCAGAGGAAACCCACGCAGACACGGGGAGAACGTGTAAACTCCACACAGACAGTCACCCGAGAGTTGAATCGAACCCAGATCCCTGGTGCTGTGAGGCGGCAGTGCTAACCACTGAGCTACCATGCCACCCAGTTTCAGGGGGATGTAAAGGATTCCATGGTCATTATGTTAAAGAAGATCAAGCCACTTAGCCCTGATCAAAGTCCATTAACATAATTATAATCAAATATCTTGTAATTTGTCTCATGGCTGTTTGCTGGATCTTGCTGTGCACAAATCATCTGCCATGAATCCTACATTACAGAAGTATCTACACTTCAAGGCATACTTAGTTGGTGGTGAATTGTTTTGGGTGTCCTGAGGTTGTCAGAGGTGCTATATACATGTAAGTTCTTGATGCAGAGTGGTTTGATTGTCAGCACACAGTGAAATGTCAGCGTAAAGACAACTGACATCACTCCAAGCCCCTTGCTGAATTTTGGGTGCAGCATAACTCATCAATGAGGATTCTTGGGCAAACCCCAGTGGTGTGAAATTAAATTCACTCTGTCTGCTCCTTGTGGCGAGTCACACTTTGCAGGGAGCATTGCTCAGAAAATCATTCGAGGAGCTTGAAAGTGAAAAAACTTCTCCTGCGGATATTAAAAAGCTCCAAGAAAATTTTGGAAGACGTGCAAAGTTAATTTAACATGGCTGTATTGACTGAATAAGCAGATCCCATTCACTGTGAATACTTTGTTTTAATATGTGATAAGATATTGAAAATGTTTTCTCTTCTCTGTAAACAAATGAAAATAGTATTCAGCATGCAGAAAGCCCTGATTTAACCACTTGTAAGATCGTCTTACTTGAGTTACTTTTTGCTGGATTAATTGTGCCTTTGTTTTGGAAACTTTTCAGGTTCGCAATGTCTGAAAATAAACATTAATCTGTCCTGTCAGTTTATGAGTCCAACGTACTTCTCTTGAGTGGGGGCCACGATCAGACCATGGGTGAAAATGATAACGATAAAAACAGCCAAGCTGGACAGCTGTTTGAGAACTTTGTTCAAGCCCCGACATTCAAAGGCACACTGCAGGCATTTCATATCCTCTGCCGTTATCTGGACCTTGACCCTTTAGATCATCAGATGTTCTACTCCATGCTGAAGTCAAAGGTCAACACATGGAAGGCAAAGGCGCTATGGAGCAAGCTTGACAAGCATGCCAACCACAAGGAGTACAAGAAGGGCAAGGCTTGCTCCAACACACAGGTGAGCAGAGTTTAACCTGACCAACCTCTAATCACCAGTAAGAACACAGAAAATAGGAGCTGGAACAGGCCATTTAGCTCTTTATGACTTCTCCGCCATTGTAAATGGATCTTCCCTCAAGTACTGAGCCCCTATCCTTCAAATCTACATTTGAAACCTCATGCCTTAGAACAGAAAGTCCTCTCTCTGCACCATAGGCTGATGGCTAATCTTCCACAGCAACTTTATCTTCCCACAGCATGCTCTAATTTCCTTCATATCTGTATAATCAATCGACTCTGTCTGCACACTGTCCAAGCTAGAGAATTCTGAGTGAAGGTATTTCCGCTCCCCTCACTCCTGAACAGCTGACCAGCAATCCAAACAGACTGATAGCCCCTTTTCTAGATTCTCCAGCCAGACCGATTATTTTCTCAGCAATCCACTCTGTCAAGCCGCTTAAGAATTTTCTATGTTTCTACTCAGGGCGGCACGGTGTCTCAGTGGTTAGCACTGCTGCCTCACAGCATCAGGCACCCGGTTCAATCCCAGCCTCGGTTGACTGTCTGTATGGAGTTTGCAACATTCCCTCTGTGTTAAGGTCTGGGTGCTCCGGTTTACTCCCACAGTCCAAAAATGTGCAGGTTAAGTGGATTGGCTGTGCTAAATTGCCCATAGTGTCCAGGGATGCATAGGTTAGCTGGAATGGCCATGGGAAATGCAGAGTTACGGGTACAGGGTGGGGGACTGGGTCTGGTTGGGATGCTGATTGGAGGGTTAGTGCAGGCTTGATGGGCTGAATGGCCTGTTTCTGCACTGTAGGGATTCTGTGATTCTAAATGCACTCCTGAAATCCACGTTGAAAACATCTGCCACCTTATCTGTATTCAGCAAATTTGTTGAATCTCCAAATACACCCAATAATCTGCCCAATAACTTTGTCCTTCGAAACCCTTCTCCAGTCAGACCCTGCCTTTCAACACCAGTCCTTCAATGAAATCCTGTACAATGTCCCCACACTGAGGTTCACAAATCCATAAGTTTGCTTGTGTTTATAGGAAAGGGGTGAACCACATTTCTACTTGTGGGATGTTGTTTGATTTCAACGATCTCTGATGAGAGGCTGCTCTGTGTGAACCTCTCTAGAATTTTTCATCATCTTGGGAAGTGTTCAGGGAATGTGATAGCAATAAAACATTTCTGCACTGACTTTGTTGCCTCACTCCCCCGAGAACTGAGCGCCAGAAATAATCAACGCTCAGTTCACTCATTCTTTCGTTGAACACAATCCAGCTTTTTCTCTTCCAAGTTCGTGGTCAGTGGGGGAAAGGTTTAACTGCTTGTTGCTTTTAAGAACTTTGCTGCAGTTCCTGGAATTAAAATAGCAGCAATCCCGGAGATGAATGCATTTCCTTGGAAACTATACTTACTTCTTCAGACCCTCCTTAAAATCTACCTCTTTGTCTGAACGTTTGGGCTTCTCTTCATATCTCCTCATTGCTGGGATTTTCTGTCTGGTTATGCTCCTATGGGGACCTTACATGCCTATATTAATGGTGCTACATAAGTGCAAATCTTCGTGATTCAGAGGGGTGGTCTGGGAGTGCTTAAAAGTTGTTGATGAGGACTGGAGAGGGTGCAAGTGCAGAACCTTTAGCTGTCTTCTCCTTTCCTGTCAGTATCTTAGTCACTTCCTCTAAACAATGCATCAGTGTCAGCTGTGGTGTTAAACTATAAACAGGCAGAAAGAGGAAGCTACCGTCAGTTCTCATTCTTTATGTTATAATCCAGACCTGGCCTAGCAATAATAGATCCTTCCGAATAAGGAAGTTATGGTAAACCATTATATGTCACTGGCTAGGCCTCACACGGAGTGTTGTGTTCAGTTGTGGGAGCCACACTGTAGGAACAATGTGATGGCTTTGGAGAGGGAGCAGAGGAGATTGACTGGGATGGTACCAGGAATTGGAGAATTCAATTATGCAGGGAGACCGGAGAAACTAGGATTATTGTCTTTAGAGCAGGGGAGGTTAAAAGGAACTGCTCTGAAGAAGTTTCAAAATTTTTTTAAAATTAACCTATTTTTCGAATCAGCCTATTCAGAGATGTTATTACACACCTCTGGAGCAGGTGGGACTTGAACCCAGGCCTCCTGGTCCAGGGGTAGGGACTCTACCACTGTGCCACAAGAAGGTCTGAAGAAGGTTCATCTTGATCTGAAATGTTAACTTTGTTTCCCTCCACACTGCGTGACCTTTTGAGCATTGCCAGTATCTTCTGTTGTCATTTAAAGTTTAACAGAGGTGCTCAAAATTCAGATTGGTTTCGAGGGAATATATGATGAGGAGTTGTTTCCAATGACAGGAGGGTTAATAAGCAGGGGACATAAATGTTGGGGTAACTGATTAAAGAACCAGAGGAGAGATGATACAATCTTTTTAACACAGTGAATTGAAATCTGGAACGTGCTGAAAAAATGGTGCAAACTGGTTCAATAGTATTGCTCAAATCGATTAAATACCTGAAAAGAGAAAAGTTGCAGGACAATGGGGAAAGAGCAGAGAACACAGTCATGATGAACTGAATAGCCACTTTCTATCAATGTGATGATAGAAGGAAATATTTAATCGGGCACACACAGAGGAAGTAGACCAGAATTGTTGTCTCTGTAATAGGGATGGCTAAAGTCAAAAAAGTTAGAATCAGAATAAACCCTGGATTTATTCTAGTGGATGCAATAGAGACCGATTTAGACTCAAATTCCTGAATCTTGCATTGGTCCTTAACACAAGGAGGAGTGCAGGGGCTCTGTGTGAAGAATGTAGAATTGATAGAAGCCAGATTTACTCATGGAAAAAGAGTGCAGTGACCCTGCAAAGTGGTGTGATAACCCCTGCATTCTGGGGATATGGATTAGCACCTTAAATGGGCACAGTGGTAGAGTGGCAGTGGTGTAGGGTTAGGTCCTACCTTCATTCCTTGCATTCTCAGCTCTGTGCTATTTCAAACTGATAATGACTATATTAGGGGCTGAGTTCCAAGTAACCTTGTACTGTGGGGATTGAGAAATGAGTGTCAGATGATGATGCAGAACAATGTGCACCAGATTGGGACAACTCCCTCTGCCTGCCAATGAGCCATTTATTATCATTACAAAGAACGAAAGTCTCAATTTGCCTTTTACAACCTCGTGACATCCCAAAGTGCTTTAGGTGCTAGTCATGACTCAGTGAGTAGGAGTCTCATCTCTGATTCAGGTGATTCAAGCCTCACTCTAGGACCTGAGCAAAGTAATCTAGGCTAGCAACTCACAAGGGCTGAATGGAGGATGCACTGCACGCTCAAAGATGCTGTCCTTCAGATATGACATTAAGCCAGGACCCTGTCCGGGCTCTCAAGTGGACAGAAAAGGTTCCATGGCTCTATTTCAAAAAAGAACAGGGTAATTTCTCCCAGTGTCTAGACAATATTTGTCCCTTATCAACATCACTTAAATGGATTGTTCAACCCCTTCAGCCTACTTCATCATTCAATTAGAACATGGCTTCGCTTTTATGTTAACTTTTTATGTTATCTACCTGCCTTGCTTCTGTATCACTTAATACCCTTACCAGCAAAAATATATCTACCTTGGTTTTAAATTTTCAGGTGAGTCCCTTGCACCCTCTAGGGTCATAACTTCGATCCCTCTCACAGTTTTAATGCTTTTTGTGAGATTGAGTTGTAGATTTCCACTTTGCAGGAAAAGGTGTTTCCTGACATCACTGCTGAATGGCGGAGCTCTAAATTATAATATTCTGTACCGTTGTTCCATACTTTCAGAGGAAGCGTTTTAATGTAGTTCACCTGGGATTGAAGCAGGAAGCAGTAGGACAGAGAAGATGGCTGGCTGTTAATGCTTTATACCACAAACTAGCAGGTTGCTCCTGTTACATAGATCTATAGAAAAAAGGAGCAGAAACAGGCCATTCAGCCCTTTGAGCCTGCTCCGTTATTCATTGTAATCACAGCTAATCACCCAACTCAATAACTTGTTTCTCACTTATCCTTTGATTTCCTTTCATGCCAAGTGCCACATCCAGCTCCTTTTTGAAATGATACAATGTTTTGGCCCGACTGAGTTCCACAAGCTCACCAAGCTGTGGGTGAAGAAATTTCTCCTCATCTCAATCCTAAATGGTTTACCCTGTATTCTTAATCTGTGCCTCCTGGTTCTGCACTCCCCCGTCATCGGAATCATCCTTCCTGAATCTACCCTGTCTAGTCCTGTTAGAATTTTATAGGTTTCTATGATATCCCAACCCCTTCCACCCCCCCCATTCATCTGAACTCTAGTGAATATAATCCTAACCAATTAAACCTGTCCTCATACACCAGTCCTGCCATCCCAGGAATCAGTCTGGTAAATATTCGCTGCACTCTTCCTATATCAAGAACACCCTTCCTCAGATAAGGCAAACAAAACCAGGTGTTCCAGATGTGGCCTCACCAATGCCTTGTATAATTGCAGCAAAAGATCCCTACTCCTGTACGCAAATTCTCTTGCTATGAAGGTCAACATATCACTGCCTTCTTTATCGCTTGCTGCACCTGCATGTTTACCACTGGTGACTAGTGTATGAGGACACCCAAGTCTCATTTCACATTCACCCCCACCCCTCTCAATTTATAGCCATTCAGATAATAATTCACCTTCCTCTTCTTCACATAACCTCACATTTATCCACATTATACTTCATCTGAAATGTATTTGCCCACTCACTCAGCATTTCCAAATCACACTGGAGCATCTCTGCATCCTCCTCACAGCCCACCCTCCCAGCCAGCTTCATGTCATATGCAAATTTGGAGATATTTAGTTCCCGCATCTAAATCATTCATATATTTTTGAAAAGCTAGGGTCATAGCTTCGATCCCTATGATACTCCACCCATTACTGCCTGCCATTCAGAAGAAGACCTATTTATCCTGCTCTGTTTCCTAACTGCTGACCAGTTTTCTATCAATGTCAATACACTGCC